ACTCTCCATATTCTCGTCGAAATATCAGACCGCCGCCTAAAGGCCGGGACACATCATACAATCATACAATCAGGGTCCTTATTCTTGGAACAGGGGAACAGCGTTCCCAGGAAAATGAGGGTTCCGTCTTCGTTACTCCTATTAGTCCTATTATCAGTTGCATATAATTGAGAAAGACGGAACCCTCGTTCTCCTGGGAACGCTGCTCCCTGTTCCAAGAATAAGGATCCTGATTGTATGATCGGAGTTGGATCGGAAGAATGCACGATAGATGTGTCCCGGCCTTAAGAAGTTTCACTTTAAAAACTTATAAAAAGTTTGACATGTATATATTCCAGACTAGACCTACAAATAATAATCAAATAAAATAACAACTGTATAAAAAAATGACAAAAACGTGTAGGTATAAGAAAAATGTTTGACAAAAACAAAAACTATTTCTTCAACTCAAGAGCACCAGGATTCAGTTCTGCTGAAATCTGAATAGCGAGTGAAGAATGCGTAGAACGCGGAAGGCAACATAATATAAAAAATTTGGATTATCTAATATAATATAGCGCTAGTGGTGCTAGTACACTGTCACAGGCTAGTACAGTGCAAAGTGCGACGCAAGAAATCGCCGCGACCATTGGGATTTCGTCATTCTGTTGTCCGGTGATTTTGCAATTCATTACGACACGTGACACGACCCTAATGTTAATTTTAATCAGTCCTCGCAAATAAGGTGCGCAAATTTTTGTCTACCAATTTTTCCCAATTTTAAATGTTTCATCCAAGTTTTCCCAACTTTCGATATATTTCAGGAACTTTGGGGGGGGGGGCGCCACCCCCCCCCCCCCCCAGCCCCCCCATGGCTCCGTCCCTGCACTCCGCAACTCAATTTAAGCCCATCGACATTATTAACGGTCATATCACCAATAATGATCCCTTCAACCTCAACCTAGACCAACTAATATTAACTGACTACGTCACCGAACATAAAGACAGAACTAAACTTATGTACTCGAAAATCAATGAAAAACTTATCAATAAAAAAGAACGGGTGATATGAAAAATAAACGAAAATCGTGACAGTCCGGCCCTATTTACTGAAGGACAAAAAGTCTTTGTCAAAAAACATGGTAGGCAAAAATTAGGCGATACCTTCAATAAGCCTACACAAATTGAGAGTGTTGACCCTACGAGAAAAACCGTAGCGACCACCTCACAAAACAAAATACACATGGACAACCTTAAACGTCCACTGCGGGATAAATATTCTTTCGACTAAAAATAATGCTTAAGTAAGTATAATTAATTAACATTAAGATAGGTTAGTTTAGTATCATTAGGATAGGTTAGTAACATAGGTAAATTCTATTTCAGCTTACTCGCCGACGTTTCTGGGAACGAAGACCAGATAGTCATACGAGAACTTTGTGATAATCCTGGTATCATACTACATTAAACTGGGAAATGCGATGATCAAGGATTATTCTCACACACTAATACATTTTTACGATTTGAATCCGATACTTTCTGAAGTAAGCAAATTAAGGACAAAATCAGAAAATACATATATCCAAATTATTATTAATAAACTCTCACTAAGAATATGCCTTGGATACTAGTAATTATTTGAAAATATTAAATATTACAAGATTTAGGGTTGAAAATAAAATACAAGAAATTACTCCTACTAATTTCAAGAGGATTAAACGAGGGTTGATAAACGGATTAGGATCTTTCTTTAAGGCTATAACAGGAAATCTCGACGCCTCTGACGGTGAACAATACGAGTAGGTATCTAATTAGAGAACTGCAAAACAATCAAAAAATTCTCCAAACAAACATTTTGAAAGAAAAGTCCCTATCTTTATCGGTTATCAATAGATTTAATCACACCATCAACGAAATTAGCCATAATGAGAAACTGTTAGATTCCAAAATAAATCAAATAGCCTTTATTATACAAAAAACTGCTTACAGAGAAAATTCTCTATACATAACAGATGTTATCAATCAAATGATCAACATTTATGAAATTATCGATTCAGTATTGCAAGACATCGAAAATTCGATTACATTTTCTAAACTTAAAACAATGCCTCCGAGCATAATAAAATCTGAAGACTTATTTAACGAATTAACTAGACTGCAAAATCAATTTGGTATTGAACAAATGCCTATACCAGTGAATTTAGAGAGCATCCTATTATATGCAAAAATTATTTCTTTTGACTGTTTTATTTCCAACAACAAAATAACGTACCTTCTGCATATACCTATAATGTTACTTCAGTCTTTTGAATATTTTCATATTTACTCAATACCCATTTTTGATAAGAGTCGGTTTAAGGTTGTTTTACCGCGGAACAAATTTCTATTAAATAATCAATTGCATAAGGCCTACCAACAAGAAGAATGTCAAAGAGGCATCCCTCAGTACTACGTATGTGAAAACGAAAATCTCCAAGAAATCCAAGAAGACATGCCCTGTGCCATCAGGTTAATGAACTCTGATAAAAACACTTCAATATGCAAACAAACAGAGGTAAAAATTACATAGCCTCTCACGAACCGACTAGCCGACACAAATCAATGGATAATGATCTTTCCATCCAAATAGAATGTAACAACCAGGAAGAAACCAGAAGCATTTTTGGAACTTACCTATGCAGCATTCCCGAAGATTGCCAAGTCAAAATAAAATCGAAACTGATCTCCAACATTAAAAAATCAGTCAGAAGTAGCAGTCAACCTATACCGCTTCCCGATATTCAAGAAACGCCAACTCTGTTGCCTACGTTGAATTTAAGTACCCATTTACACGACTTGAAGCTGGATGAGCTACACAAACTTCAGAACGAGATTTAAGAAGTTCAACCGGATTTAGCCAAATCGAAACAAATCCCAGTATATGGTCCTTAGTAATATACATCTTATTAATTCTTGGCTGTATAATTTTCGCATACAAGAAAATTGTTCCAAAATTTAAGAAGAAAGTACCAACCCCTAGAAAAGAAGAGGACACGGACACTCAACTACCCCGGCTAGGCCGATAGTTGAATCTGAGGACGGAGGAGTTAAATGGCCTTTGTCATTGAGGATGCAATTATTATGTTTGAATTATTAGTGGACTGTATTGCGATTATTGCGTCCTTATTACACGAAAAAATGAGAAATTAAGTGAGGTCATGCAAAAAGGTTTTGTCGCTTACCCAATTTGGCTTCTGTGGTCTCGTAACTTTAGGGGCGCCCCTGGAAGGCTTTAACTCACGATCAATTGTTCAAACGGCGAAATATGTACGATAAAATCTCAACGGTCGCGAAAATCTTTTGGGAACCGCCGAGAAATGGAGTGGGTACGCACCAAACCGCAACTCTCGTATCAATTGTACTATCGGTACTGTCCTACCCTTTTCGCTAGGTATTTCTAGGAGGCGCGCGCTGCGCTTCTATTCTTCAGCGATATATGGAACGCAAAATTCATGCCTCTATTATACAGGGTCAAATGTGTCACAAAAAGTTAATGCGAAATCATTGCATCAACAGTCATAAAAGCTTTTCAGCTTAGATTTACAGTCAGTCCGTTGAATGTATTCAATTTATAATTGTATTCTTATTTTTTATCCAAATATTGTTAGCAAGTTTAAATAAAGTTTTTTTTCTACAAACGTGTTAAAAATGCAATTTTTAACACGGCCCCGAAGCATTAAAAATGTTACTTTATCGCACTAGTGCCATAAAGTCTTTATAGCACTAGTGTTAAAAGTGAAACATCAAATTTTGAGAGCGGACGTCAAAAAAAGTTTGTATTTTCAGTTATTTACATTGATATTAATGGTGAAATTTGAACAACTGAGGTAGCCCGATTGGCCGCCTCATCTATATTTTTCGAAGGATCGATGCAACCCTCTGTTTCTTCTGTATCTGACCACAACAGACTTTCAAGAAACTGACAAGACATTTCGTTACCTGTAAAACAAGGTGCTAGTTGTATGGATTTTTTGACAAATGTCAAATTCAAGAATTTTATGTAGGAAAGATGCTTCCAATTTATTATTTATTTAAAAATCCAATTTGTTAGTGGTTATTGCTTTTTATTGCCGTTTGTAGAAAAAATATTGTATGATATTTGTGTTAAAAGTATTTTTAAGGCACTTATGTGAATTGCAGAATTCGCTTCGCTCATTCTGCAAACTTTCACATGCGTGCCTTAAAAATGTACTTTTAACACTTATATCATAAATAACTATTTTCTACAAACGTCACTAAAAGTGTCATTTTTAACGGATGCTGTCAGTGTCTAAAATGCCATTTTATGACACTGGTGTTAAAAGTGATTACTTTTAGCACTAGTGCTAAAAGTAATCACTTTTAGTGCGTTTGTAGAAAAAATAGTGTATGATATTCGTGCTAAAAGTGATTTTATTTTGTTCGAAGGAATGGAACACTCCGCCTTTGGCGTCGTGTTCCAAACTTCCCTTTTCACAAAATAAAATGTCACTTTTAGCACTTATATCATAAATAACTATTAAAAAGTAATTCTCGGCTATCGACTTGTTACCTCGTATGTCTTAGCAATATTTTTTTTCATTAATTTTGTCAATGAACTTTGACGTCAAAATGTCATGTCAAAAAATCTGACCAATATAAGCAGAGTTCGTTTTTGTCATCTTTTTCGTCGATTTGCTCTGAAATTTTGACAGGCACGTGATTTGTAAATTGAAACTGTCTTATCCACTCACGTGCCTGTCAAAATTTCGGAGCAAATCGACGAAAAAGATGACAAAAACGAACTCGGCCAATGAAACAATCATGCGACGTACGTTTTCGTAATCAAAGCAATCTTTGTTTTTTTTTTTTGACGACTCGTTATTATCACGTATTAAAAAATGATCAATTATCCCGACCATTAACGCCTTCACTAAAATATCCCGATTATTAGCTCTCATTCGTACACTAAATGTTTCATTAAATAACGATTATTATTAGAAGACACAATGAGAAATACTTACGCTTCTTAATATAACCAAAACATAAATGCATACAGCCATAAATACGCAGAAAATTTGTGCTACGTTTCGGTTTTTGTGGATTTGTCTTGAAAGACCAAAAAGCTTTTTTTGCAGATGCTGAAATACAATAAATTTATTACGACACACCTTCCAATAAAGTGACTTATACGTACCCTTACATTAATGTTGTCCATATATACGATAATTGGGAGAATTATAAGGAATAGTACCACAGGAATGGAACATAACAACGCAGTGTGATTGCTGAAAAACATATAAAACAAATACAAACATCGTTCTTTCCATGATCTGTTGACATTAAATAAACTTTAATATCCCTGGCGGCCTGGCTGGAGTTCAATTTAACGCATATTAAATATTAACCCAATAATCTAGTAAACATTACGTTTACATTAAATTTCTATAGCCTCCAGAAGCTTGTTTGTGACATACACATTTAGAATATTTGAAAGGAATTCAAAGTAGGTATATACCTACAGTGAAAGAACATAATTACACGATTCACACAAATTTGTCTAGCAGAGCACGCAATAAATGAATTACGCGAGAAGATACATGCAGAAAATAGCGTCTAGACGTGTTTTTGTTTTGATAATATAATACCATAATTACTACAATCAATGTTAAAGGGAACTACGAAGAAGAATTAAAGTAATTAATTTTGACGTACTAGAAAACAAATATTCTCGCTCTAAAGAGAAACGCTTTAAATTAACTTAAACGCTTTAACTTACCTCTTGAATACAGCAATTTGAACTAAAATAATGGCAGCGAAACAAAATGTCGAGCATATAAAGTACAACGTCAACATTCGGTCTTTTTCTAAAGCGTACTGAAAACAAAAAAAAATTAAAACCTGGCTGTTTAAATTAGAATTATTGTTACCTTTCTCTCTTTACTGGGATCTCTAAAATTCAAGAGCACATTTCTGCAATGCTCAGTTCTAAGCCTATCAATGCTTCTTGCATCGATAGCTTTCATCAGGTACTCATTGACTTCATCTTCTGGATTTTTTTCTCGCGTTTCTGACGACTCACTGAAAGGCCTGAAATGTCAGAAAATGGAAGTTCTCCATAAAAATATTTATAGATATTGAAAAAAAGTAAGTAATTTTCAGTAAAGTATAGGTGTAAGTATTTTTTGAAGTATTCTAAAAAGAGAAAAGAGTTTGAGACCTAGAAGTAAAAGTTTTTTGTCTCAAAAATACATGTTCAAGTATACAAAGTAACTGCGACTCAGGAATATTTACTCATATACCATGAGAATGCTCAGTGGTTTATAGAAAAGCGTATTTTATTTATTGCAATTACGTTCAGGTACTATGTTAAGTAGTTCGCGAATCTTACATACTCGAAAATGAAAGAGACACTAATGCTAGTGCGAATCTGCTAGTACAAGTATCCAACGTATCCAACAAGTTGTTATGACGTGAGAAATATTAGAAGCCCTTAAAGAAAGCCTTGCCATAAGTCGAAAAACAAGATGTAATGATCGAAACGCAGAAAACACTGCTGCACGAAAAGCAAACCTATGATGTTGGAAAATTAATTTCTAAAGATGATAAAACCAAAATTTGAAATGTGCTGATTGCAAAAATCATGGTCATATCATAGAAGAATATAGAAAACTAAAATAAAAGAGTTAAAGTTGCGCTCTTATCCTTATCAGGAAGGAAAATATCAGAAGTCAGAGAATCCTCAGGACCTCAGGACAACAATGTTATGCCTACATGGACTATTTCTTGCTGCGGTTGTATTAGAACACAATTCATCAAAAAAAAAACTGTCCAAATTCTCATAAATCAGGTTCTAAGTCTAGTTCCTTCTCATCCGGTTCAACTTTTTCCGAAAGTGCTTAGTCTACTGAATTGTATATTCTTATGCTGATTCTCAATAGTAGTAGCCTAGTCTGTGCTACTTTAATGCAACTACCTACCTATGAAGAAGAATAATAGGAATGTTCACTATTTTTCAATTGTAATAAAAAGTAGTAGTTCTAGAGGTCCACAAAACATGTATTAAGCGTTAAAACATCTAGAAACCCTTTATTTTTTCTGATAAATCGAAAACAAAAAAATTAAATTAGCGAGGCTAGCAAAACGACCCCCTGCGGCGAGAGTAACGCTTGTGACGTCACTGTGCGGAATGAACAATCAGCTGGCGCATTGGCAAGATTTGTTTACAAGTTTACATTGATTGTGTTGCTGACAGTTGCTTTATCCCATTGACTTTATCCCAAGAAGCTTAATTCACTCTAATTATCTGTGTTTGTGTGATGATGGGAGACTCAAACAAAGTTAAACCGAGTCCTACGTACGTGTTTTCCTACGAAGTACGGAAGTGTGGTACTTTCCGCACGCAAATCGGTACGTGGGGACGCGTTTTCCGCACGCTCGTAGGAAAAATGTGCCTAACACGAGCGTAAAGTATGTTTTCCGCACTTGCAGCTTTCATGAATTCCACTGGCGCGTCGTTCGCGTTCGTGCAAATGCCGTTGCGTGCGGAAAAGTATAAATTTCCGCACTTGCTATAGGTAAAAACTATATCACTGTTCAAATTCAACTATACCTACGTCTAATACGTCTGTTTTACTTCTATACTACTGGGCTTATTCAAGTCTCGACACTTGACCAAAAATTCTGATATCATAGTAACGTCCGCAGTTGGCGGCTTATGTGGAAAGGCCTTTTGAAAACCTTCCTCCATTTTAGCCATAGTACCTTTTCCACCTTAATTTCGATAAACCCTAATACAGAGAATAGAGATCGACACGAAGGAGATAGCAGCATTATCAAAATACTTGTTAAACGTTAAACATACTCTTTCGTTAAATTAGAACCTAACCAAAATAATAATACCAATAATATTAATATTAATATTCTTATTGCAAACAAAAATCGCAATAGACATCACAAAAGGCTGATCCAAGTAGCTGGTAGTGCCACTGCACTTGCGCGCGCTAACTCGTTACGCATTGTGACATCAGAGAGCGTTTCTTGCGTTATTAAAAGAAATATTGATATTTCGTCTCCATTTTTCTCATGGAAAGAATTTTCTGATTTTCGTAAAATTTTGTAGATTTACTTAAGAAACGATGCTCAATAATTTCATGATTGTTAAATTTTCTTATTTTGTGAACATTCCTATTATCAACAACAATTTAGGTGAATAATGGCCATTTGCACCGCTATCACTTAAGGGATATTAAGGGATATTTAATTTAAGTGGAGCTTTTGAATGTGACTTTGGTTTCTATGAGAGTCACATTCAAAGCTCCACGTGGATTAAATATCCCTTAAGTTATAGCGGTGCAAATGGCCGTAAGTAACCCATTAAACTTAGCAGATAGCGTATATAGAAATGTGACGTCTCTAGTTTTTGATGTAGATATCAAATCAAATTATGAAAGTCATTCCAAGTTCAATGGGGTAGTAAACTATGTATAAAAATCAGTAAAAAAACTGCTCAACGTTATTCTATAGACTAAATGGTGATGGTATAGTGGGATACTAAATTATTTTCCAGCATATTGTCTATAGAATTAGTCAGGGAAAAACAAACTGTAATTTGAATTTAGCGCCACAAAGGCAACCAATAGTATTCGAGCCGCTGACCATCTGGCAATGCTGCTCAGAATGCCCCAAACTGACAGCTGACTCCAACAGTTCAACGACGTGTGGTATCGTGTGACATGTGACATTGTCACAGTAACTTGTTTACATTGTTTGATGTAGTGAAGGATAACGCACACCTAACATGGGATTTTTGGGCTCTATGGATTTTTCCCATTTTTTGATATGTTGTAGAGGATTCAATTCTGAACAACCTTTAAATGGGACGAAATCTTGTAGGTATTACGGCCTTTGAGATATGAGCGTTGAAAGATTAACTTTTTTGCGACTTTTTGTGTGGAGAGTATACAAGATATAGTCAAATTCACGATAGAGTTTGAATTTTGACCGTTATTTTCCCCGTAGTTTCCCCAGAACTGTTCCTTTTCCTGTCAACTATCAAATAGTGATACATGACATTTCGATTTGACCTCGGATTTGACACATAAAAATGTCAGATCCGGATCTTTGAATTTTGAATTTCGAATTTTTGTGTGAAATCGTTTCAGTTTTTGGCCGTTTTCTGCATTATTTTTTGATATTTTGTTATATTCGCAATCGGTTTTTTGGGTTTTTATGTAGTGTTCTGTGTGTCAAACCTGGTTTTAGTTTGGATTTAAGTGGTTACTCTCTTTATAATTGCTTACTTTGGACTCTTTTAAGACTTTAATCTGGTTTATTTCAATGTCTCCAGGTAAGATAAACCTAATACTTACACAACATTTCGATTTTAAGTGCCAATTTTGGTATTAGCGATGACATAAAAGTCCTAAAAACTATTAAAAAGTATTATATTTGTTCTATTACAGATGTTTATTATTACTATGCTGGATTTTAATAACCTAACTTCCTTTAAAGGAATTGAAAATAAATTTACCTACGAGCATGCGGTAAAGTGCACTTTACCACACTTATTTGCAAATAGAAAGTAGCACTTTACCGCACACTATGCGGTAAAGTTACTTTACCGCATAGTGTGCGGTAAAGTTAACTTTACAGCATAGTATGCGGTAAAGTGGACTGCAAAGTGTGCGGTAAAGTTAACTTTACCGCATAGTATGCGGTAAAGTAGACTTTGGTATTTATGATTAAAAATCCTTTCTTTTTCAGAAATAGTTATTTTTGTCACAAGTACCTAAAATGAAGTTTTTCAGGACGAATCATTGCTGTTACCGGACGAGGCGTTAGCCGAGTCCGGAATAGCAGATGAGTCCTGAAAAACTTCATTAGGTACGTGTGACAAACACTATTTTTGTCATACGCTTTTTAGAATTCTTCAGAACGCTAAAATTTGCAAAATTTCCTTAATTTTTGAAATCATAAAGGTGCATCCAGACCAGGGTTGCCAGATCTATGAAATGAAAAAGCGGAACTGATGCTATCCAGAGGGAAAGCTCGAGTGCCACGCCCAAAAACATAAAGGGGGGGAGGGACAAGTGCCCAATGTATCCCCCTCCCATGGATTCCCTTGAGCAAAAGCGCAACAAATTTTTTGGAGCTTCGCCCAAATTTTGTTAAGAATTCAATTAAAAAAAAAAAAAAATCTCCTTTATTAGATAACAAAATAAACGCTTCACGACAAAACAACAGAAAACATCATTATTTATACCCTATAAATAAAAGCTATACTTTTTCTATGACCATGGTTTTTGCTGTTAAACTAATACTAATGTAATGTTTTTTCACAAGGGTTCCTTCTTCGTTTAATAGAGGGCGCTTGAAAACGTGGATGAATCAAGACGCCATCTATAAAAAGTTCTCGTTTTTAATCAATTTTATTACTATCATTTTGCTTTTATTACATTTTATCATTGTATATATAACTGGATTTGAAAGAATGTTTTTAACACGTAAATTCCTAATCATTCACTTCCGTCACTAGATATTTTATCACTATATAGTATATAGTGACGAAAGTGACGTTTTCGGCTAAGGTGAAATATGACGAAAGCTGTTTATTTTTCAATGGCCAGAAAAAAAGTTTTTTGCAGATGCTAGTTTGTGCAATGAAAGATTTGGATTTTGTTAGAATTTTTGACATTTTTATACCTGCAACATATAACATTTATTATTAAAACCCAAGAATCGTAAACTAACAGGATTGCTCATCCTGGGAAGGCGTACGTTCGCCGGTTCTCGAATCCACAAGGTCTGCGAGTGACGTCACCACTTCGGCAGTTAATAGTGGTGACGTCACCCGCAGACCTCGATGAAATTCTTGCGATTCAAGCTCGTTATTTGATTTTTGCGTCAATTTTAAATGAAAAAATAGCTATTTATGTAACAACAAGTTGTAAAATAAGCGTATTTTTTGCACTAAATGTGAAGATTGGGTGAAAAAAGCGGGAAAACCGGGACAATTCACGTGAAAAGAGGGACCGATTAACAAAATGCGGGACTGTCCCTCCTAAGGTGGGACGTCTGGCAACCCTGAT